CAAAGGTCCTGAGTTCAATTCCCAGCAACCACATGGTGGCTCACAACCATCTGTAATGAAATCTGCTGCCCTCTTCTGGCCTGCAGACATACATGCAGGCAGAACACTGTGTAATAAATAAATAAATAAATAAATAAATAAATAAATCTTTAAAAAACAAAAACAAAAACAATGGGGGCTGGCGAGATGGCTCATAGGTTAAGAGCGCCGACTGCTCTTCCAGAGGTTCTGAGTTCAATTCCCAGCACTCACATGGTGGCTCACAACCATCCATTATGAGATCTGGTGCCCTCTCCTGGTGTGCAGATATATACATGGAAGCAGAATGTTGTATACATAATAAATAAATAAAATCTTTAAAAAACAACAAAAAAAACCCCAAAAAAACTGGTTGAGCTAAAAGTCATTACATTCATGTTTTATGGGGTAACAATTGGGTTCCATACCATGCTCATTCGTCTATACCAGGAGACGATTGCTCTTGTGCTAGGATTCTTGACCCAGCCCCAGAGCCCTCAGTGGTCATGTGGGTCACCTGAGAAGTAGGTGGGCACTCATCCTTGTGTGTGTGTGAACCCACACTGTAGTCTCAGTTTTGACAAACTGTGTAAGCACAGCCTTAGTAGAACTGTCTTTGACACAGTTGAGTATGGTCACTGGTCAGGGCCAAAATGTTTGACTTCCATTTATCCTTCCATCATAGTTCAGCACCTTGGATGGCAAGCGCTGTCCAGGGAGAGCCACCCAGGAAATGACAGCCAGGTCATTCTTCAGGGTTCTGTGTAATCTATTCCAGACTGCTGCTTCAGAATTAAAGGGTTTGTATTTACTTCCCCAATAAGTTGTCAATTAAAGAAAAAAAAATATATATATATATATGAAATTTGTTGCTGAGCCCATGAGAAAGTATGGAGTTCCTGTCTTTTTAGTGGGGACATGTGTCCTGCTGAGAGACTGATGTGGACATTGTGTGGTTTACAGATACCATGTTGTAGGAACATTGCAGTTGTTGACTGTAACCAGGGTTCCTGTGAAATTAAGCTGGATGTGTAGCTCAGTAGATGTATACTGGCACCTTTGCTCCCCACTTTGACTTTGTTTCCTTTTCCAGTAGTAATTGCCTTTATTGTTTTTATTTTTAATTTCATTTTATTTGTATGTGTGGGAGTATGTGCACAGATGGACACACACACACACACACACACACACACACACACACACACACACTGAGCTTATCATGGAACATGTGTGGCGGTCACGGGACAACTTGTGGGAAATAGTTTTTTCTTTTTGCTGTGACATCCACTGTAATCAAACTCAGGCTTGGTGGCAGGAGCCTTTCCCTGCTGGGCCATCTTACAGGCCTCCCTATTTTCAATTATTTCTGTATAATTTCATAATTTCACTCTAAGTCTTTAACGATTTAAAAAACAAAAGAGAGACCTTGAAGTCCTTGTTGCTTGTGGGTCGGGTCCTCGAGCAGTGTGGGGATGTGATCAGAGCAATGGCACTCGCCGTTTGAGTCGTGTATTGTGGAGCTTGAGGCTAGAAGCCCATGTATCTCCAGCTCAAGGAGAAGCTAGAACATGAGTTCCCTGGATGCCTGGGCATCTGTGGCGAGGGGACTCCCCAGGTCACTGGGTTCTTTGAAGTGACAGTAGCCTGAAAGTTGGTTCACTCCAAGAAGAGAGGTGATGGCTATGTAGATACAGAAAGCAAGTTTCGGAAACTGGTGACCGCCATCAAAACTGCCCTGGCTCAGTGCTAGTAAGCCCCGGAGGCAGGGTCCTGGGACATCCTGACAGCCGCCTTATGACAGGAAGGACTGAAATGTGTCAAAGACCTGTGGTCTTTCCTCGATGTTCCTGCAGCCACCACGTCAGGCCAGAGAGTGCCTGGGGGGGGGGGTGCCTCCCAGAATCCACCTGTGCATGTGCCCTGCCCTACTCTTCTGCCCTCTTCCTCACCTCTCTCTGAATTCCTCCAAGTCTCTTATCTAGTTACCTGCCTCGGTTTCCCTTCTCCAGTTCAGTCTGCAAGAAAGTTAGCAGCCATGTTGTCAACTGTTCCCAATTGAATAAAAAGTTAGATAAGGCAAAAAAACAAACAAACAAACAAAAAAGAAAACTGTTGATTTTTAAGTCATTATTGTTTTAGTGCCCTAGATCAATTGATTGATCTATCCTCCATCTGTCTGTCCCATCCATCCATCCATCCATCCATCCATCCATCCATCCATCCCATTCTGATTTGAGAGCTAATACAAACACTGAAACCTAAATCTTCTTGTTACTTATTTTATGAGAGAAATGTTCAGAATTTTGACCCTGCCCTATCCCTCCCCCCACTTTTAGGTTTTGAGAGTCAGAAAACTTTGTGGTTCTCAATAAATTAATTGACTAGTTACAGATGTTTGGGGGCATGAAAAAAGGACAAAGTAAGAATTAACACACTTATGTAGAATTTAGTGAGTCTGACCATTGAAGCCAGGCACTTTGAAGGCAAGTACAATGCTCTTTTCTCTGTACGAGTTGGTTCTTGGAACTTGTAAAGCGACACAAAACAGAACAATCACCCCCCACCCAACCCCCCAAAATCCCCAGCAACAGAGCCACAGAGGATCCAGCTGAAACACTGCAGAACTGGAATGTCAGCTTTGCCTTCATCGTTCCATAGAACTGGGGCAGGTGGATTTTCAACCCTGTGTACCTGCAAACTGGTCATTTGATATCTGGCAGGGAAATTGTCTGTGAGGAAGGTGAGTCACAGTGAGACTGCAAACCTCAGTACGTCAGAGTGGTCGCCTGCATGTGCGTAAGAAAATCGGCGGGAACTGCTGGGCTTTGTAAGCCTGTCTTGTGTGTGCACAGGAGCATTGGCAAGCTGAGTGTGCCCCATTGCCAGCTGGGTTAATCTGGTCCCCAGATTGTTTCATAACAAACGTAAGGGCTGGACTTCATTCTTCTTGTAAGAATCAGTGAATGTGGTGATATGCTAGCCCCTTTTACAGAAGCTCATCCCCCAGTGTGCTCCTTATGGTCATAAACGTTAAACAGTAGCGGCAAGGGTAGCTCACACTTAGCAGAACTGATCACTGGATAGGCGGGCAGTGGATTATATAACACAAACGGTCTCATTTAGTGCTCATAACAGCCCAATAGTTTGGAACTGTTATTATCCCCAGTTTCAGATGGTGGTAAAATTAACAGTCTGTCCTTAATTCTGCAAAGTGAATTTTCAACTTGCAAAGCCAAGTTGTGATGAATGTTTGCAGTGGCCCCCCAGGCTCCATCTCCCATCCCTCAGCTTTGTGCATAGTTGCCTTCTGGTTGTTTAGAACCCTTTGTGGGTCTTGAAGAAAACTCAGGATGCTAATGTTTCTCAAGGCAGCCTGGCACACATTTACAAGGTCACTGTGGTGTCCGTGAACTTACAGCCACAATGAGTGCTTGTTGGCACATTGTGCTCTCAGAATATCTTCTGATTACAAAAGAACAAACGTGGGCTCCTTATAAGGCTACCTCATGTCTCAATTCTACAGACAAGGTTATGGCTAAATTTCCTTTCCTCCCAAGATCAGGAGGAAAAATTTAAAAACAAACCATACCAAACAGACTCGGCATTGTTTTCCATTTGAATAATGTCCTATACTTTTATCCTTTCAGTTAGTTCTTTTGTTCAGGCCTAGAAGAATATAGATAGAAAACATTGTAATTCTGGTAGATAGGATAATTTGTTTTTAAGTATAAAAACTGCATTATCAGCCTCCGTGGTGCAGGTGGAGGGACAGCCGCCTGCAAGGCCGTTCTGCCAGTGAGGATCCAGCCTTGCAAATTATTGGCAGCTGGCACGGTAATGAGTCCATTTCAATATAAATGGGTTGTTGCTTATTAATATCTGCCAGTTCCTAAGCAATTCAGGAACTGCTTTGAAATTTGGGAAATTTGCAGAGAGCAGTTGAAGGGGGGTGCCTTGGAAAAGGGGATGGACAGGATGGCAGTGGGGGCAGTTGTGGAAAGGGCACACATTGTGGGTTAATAACGGGGTGTGACTAGAACTTCTGTTCCTTCCCCTGCTAGTGTGAGTCACGGGGCTTCATGGCTAAACAGCACGTTTTCCAAGATAAAGGAGCAAGAAAGCTCACTGTTGTATTCTGTGTGGATGTATGTGTTTATTTACTTACTGCCTTTGTGTGCTTCCTTACCACACAGTAGGCATTTCTCTCAGTGTTCCCAATCCAAGAGTTTGCCATCTCTGGGTCCTACCTTGCTGCAACCACCAACAGCCCGCAGAGGAATGTCTGGTTGGAGAGGGGTAGAACTGAATCCTCTCTAAGATACCCTTCAGGCCTTTCTGCTAGCCTTAGTATTTGCAGTTTTGCCTCAGCTTCAGGTGTAAAAAAAAGGAAGGACCCAATAGCACTGTCTCTCTCGGAGCTGTCCTTTGTCAATGTATTGTCATTATTACTAATTATTTTGCTAAATACTGTCTACACCTTTTACCTAAGTTCTTTGCTCTATGTTTTCCTCATGAGCTTTCTCCGACTATGTTGTTTGCCACCTGAAGGGAACGCACAGAGGTCAAGAAAGTTTGTGGAATTAAGTTGTGGGCTCACCTATGTCATTGACTTCTAGTCTCTTTATGAGCGAGGTGCCTCTGTGAGATCATCAAGGCTCCCTTGCTCCCTTGCCTTCCTGTTAACACCCTTTGACAATTAAGAGACAACGATGACCTGTAACCTGCTGCTGTCAGCCAATGCCCGAATCCACAGCCAGGTTAATACCAGAGTTGGCCCGGCTGGCTCTGTGTGGCCATCAGTACAAATACACTGGCATTTCCGTGCATCTGACTGAGCCTGCCGGCTTATGCCTGTACCAAATGTCCTATCTCTTTATTCAAGGGCATCATATCTCACATACAGTTGATATTGGAGAATTGATGAGCGTGCTGTTTCTTTTTTCTGCCTGACCGTTGCCTTTCTGTTTTTCTGTCTTCTCCAGGTTTTTGGCTCATTCTCCCAGACTCAGGTGAGACCCTGATGGGCACCCTGTGGGGCAGGTGCTGACACACGCCCCGACTCCAGCCGCTGACATCATTACCAGCCTCAGTATCTAGATGCCACAGTGCTCTTGGGGCCAGTTGGGCTGGGCACCACTGCTGCCTTTTAAGGTAGGTTTGTACATGTTATCAGAAGCTGTGTGACTGAGTGGAAGTACTTCATAGATTGTGGGAGGGAGACAGTGGACCACAGTAATTGAAATTACTATGCTGTGTATCCATGGTGGGAAAGGAATTTGGAATCACTTCTGTGGATTAGAGCTGCACCCATCTAACAATTGAAAGGCATTAGCGTTAGCCCAAAACCAAATGGAAAGATCAAGTAGGTACCTATGAAGTCTTTTCTTTTCCTGTGAATTGCCCTCAGGGTCTTTCATCTCTTAGTTTCACTGTCTTTATGTTGGATTATGTTTGTTTAAAAAGAAAAGGAAACCTGGCTCCCAGACCCAGCCTCAAAACAATGATTTATTTCTGCTTTGGGTTGTCTTTAAAGAGCAAAGATAAATACAGTCAAAATAACAGTCTTTTAAATCAAAGACCATTGCCTATTTGCTGTAAAACATGCTTGGTCCCTTGGGTTAGGGGTATTTGTGTGTGACTTGGCAAAAACTGTTCGTGCATTGTAACGAATTAGTAAAAACTTTCAGAGCTTCGTCTGTTTAATCTTAGACCATTCCCCCTCCGTCTTCAGGCACAGCATCCAGTAGGGAAAAAACAGGCTCCAAACCAAGACCTCCCACTAGAATCTAATTTTAAATTTGCAATCTGTTGTCTTGTGATTTTTCACTTCAAATTTAACTTTGAAATAAATACATCTCATCCTTTCCACTTGGGCCTCGGAGGCCTGTTTTCCAGTCACAGAAGGGTAATCGCTGCATTTATTTTAATAAAATTTTTAGATACCTCGGGGGAGTGGGAAGTGCTACTAATATTATAACCACATCCACTGTTAGCTGGCTCATGGTTGGGGCTCGCATTGCCTTCACCCACAGAAGTGAGACCTGGCTTGCACAGCTGACTTCTGACCCCACTGTGATGTGGACAGGATTTGTCTAATGTCACAGACCTTGCTGTCTAGTGCTGTATAGACTCTGAAATGCCCTTGCTCTATGGCTGTCTTAGTAATGGACAGCACTGAAATTCCTGTGGAGAACAGGCGCAGGGTAGGTGGGCGATGGCCACCACCATAAGAAGGAGCACTAAACCGGAAGGACTGGGTGGAAATAAATGGCTTTGATGAGGTCAAAGTGCCATGAATCAGAGCTAGAAATGGATACATAGATGTAAGCTAGGTAGACTTTTCCTTGTCTTAGAGCCTTTCCCAAGCCGTCTGCTCAGAGTTTACATTTTGTTGTAGCTATCTGTGTAGTGTGACATCTTTACTCTTTTAAATTGAAAAAAAAAAATCATTGATTGTTAATGTTTCATTATTTGTCTTTCCTTAGGAAGGAAGGAAGGAAGGAAGGAAGAGAGAAAGAGAGAAAGAAAGAAAGAAAGAGAAAGAAAAACATAGTGGCTGGAGAAATGACTAAGCCCTTAGGAGTACTTGTTGCTCTTCTAGAGTTCCAGAGTTTTGGTTGCTGGCACCCTTGCTAGGTGACTCAAAACAACCTGTAACTCCATCTCTAGGGCATCCAGGGACCTCCTTTGGTGTCTCCTGGTACCTTCATACACGTGTGTGTACACATACATGCAAGCCTGTGTGTGTGTGTGTGTGTGTGTGTGTGTGTTCATAAAAACGAAACACAAAATGAATTTTGTGGTTAGGGATGTAGCTCAGAGGTAGAGTACTTATTTAACCTAGTGTAAGAGTTTGGATTCAGAAGTATAATCAACCATGGTGAAAATTAAAGTGTCCTATAAACACTCCCTCCTTCACACATTTCCCTGTGGAAGACAGGGAAATATTTACTTACTAGTATTCATGAGGAAATTTACCTTTCTCAAGAGTGTGGCTTAGATCTCATCTCTAATAGAAGTTTTCCTTTGTGGGTAAGAGGAGTCTTGTTCCAGAGACGTTTAGTATTAATGGTGGGATGGTGGTTTTGGTTGTTGACTTCTAGCTAGGGCAAGGTAGGGCCAGCCAATCTACTGTCGGGGTTTCCTTCACTGGGATGGAGCATCCTACTGTCTGCCACAGAAAGCCCTGTGTCATTAGGGAACTAGACATCATAAATCATAAAAACATTATTATAATCTCCTTTGTGCTCAAGGGATGTGGTTATTTGCATACTCTCCTGTATCCTTTTTGTTTCTTCACCATTTCTCCCTCAGTCACCTGAACTTGCTGGACTATATTTCTTTGCTCTGTCTGCCCAAGACTTTTACCAAATTAAAAATGTAAGATACACAATAAATTTTAGACATATAAGACTCACCAGCCCCTCCAATATTAATAATAGTTTAGATTTTCCCAAGCTTAGATTCTCTGTCAGAGGTTATGTTTTCAGAGGGCTGATGTGTTCCCAAGCAACTTGAAGAAAAGGCGGCTGGGCTAAGCAGACTTTTGTGTGAGTGACCCTAACTTTTATATAATGCCCTTTAAAAAATGTGTTCTGGGGGCTGGCCAGATGTCCCAGTGGTTGAGCGCACATATGGCTCTTCCAGAGGACCTGGGTTCAATCCCAAGCACCCACATGGTGGCTCACACTGTGAGCCTGTGACTCTAATTGCAGAGCATCAGATGCCTCTTCCAACCTCTGCGGGCATCCCTCCCTCCCTCCCTCCCTCCCTCCCCCTTCCCTCTCCCTCTCCTTCTCCTTCCTTCCTTTCCTTTCGTCTTTGAGATAATGTTTCTCTGTGTAGCCCAGACTGTCCTGGAACTCACTCTGTAGACCAGGCGGGCCTCAAACTCACAGAGATCCGCCTGCCTCTGCCTCCCAAGTGTGAAGATTAAAGGCGTGCGCCACCATAATGACCTAGCAGTTACGTTCTTCACGTGTTTTAAGCATGTTTACTTTTACTTGAGGAGGAGATAGTTATAATAACTGTTTAAAGTTCTTTGTGTTATAATTCCACTGTCTGGGTCACTGGACATCTGCTGATGACTTTTACCCAGAAGCTGATCACATTTTCCTTGTTCTTAGGAATGCTACAAGGGGGGTTTGAGCATCGTGTTCTGAGGTTCTGGATCTTACGGAAAATCGCTGATGGCATGGATCTTGTGGTGGTTGTTACTCCAGCAAGGAATCTCAAAGTCGCTGGCTGAATTTAGGGTTAATATCACAAGCCCATGTTGTGGGCTCCCATGTCAGCCTGGTATCCAGTGCTTTTGCAACAGGTTTATGCTACATTTGTGACCACAAGGGTCAGCCCGAGACTTGGGCTGCTCAGCCATAAGTCTTTGCTGTGTTGTTTTGAGTTGGTCTGAGACATGCACGTCCAAGACATGTTTGCACGCATTAGGAGAGACTTGTCTCCAGTCCTTCACTGTCCGAGGTCCCTGCTCACCCTCCGGCTTCCAGGGACTGTTCTTGCTTCTGTGCAGGAGCACAGGATGGGAGCACAGGACAATCCACAGTTCTTTTCACAACTGTGTTTGATGTTCAGCCTTAAGAGAATTTGGATTAATAAAAAACAAAGGAAGGACTTGCTGCTCTATTGGGTGGCTTCTGGGCTCTTCCTCAGTCTGTCTGCTTCTGTTTATCTTTGGCGTAGAGATTTTCATGGTGACTGATGGAGTGAGGTAGTGCTTTAGCTCCTTACTGATGTTGGAAATTAACAGTCCGTTTTTGCTCACTACTTCAGTGAGACAAAAGTTCTGCTCCCAGATAGTCACCCCCTCTTTTATTTAACCTTACTTTGGAACATTTTTCTCTGCATTTCCTGGCAGCATTTTCCTAGCTGATGTCTACTAAGTGTTTTTTGTTGTTGTTGTTGTTGTTTGGTTTTTTGAGACAGGGTTTCTCTGTGGCTTTGGAGCCTATCCTGGCACTCGCTCTGGAGACTAGGCTGGCCTCGAACTCACAGAGATCCTCCTGCCTCTGCCTCCCGCGTGCTGGGATTAAAGGTGTGTGCCACCAACGCCCAGCTAGTGTTTGTTTTTTTAATTCCTTAATTCATTGGGGATGTAGTGGAATGTTCCAGGTAATCTCTAGGTAAAAAGAAAGAGGTTGGGAGGATTCTAAATGTATTTCTTCAGAAAATTTCCTTATTTTTAGATTTGATTTTTTAAACCAGACTATTCCATTCAGTAAGAGCTTAATTTATTAGTTTCAAATTTTTTATTTCAAAAAGAATTATAGAATAATGGGAAATTTTACTAAAGGGGTATGCCTGCTCCCTATTTCTCTCTTGGTTTCATGGCTCGCAAGTGTGGTGAGACACAGGGATTTGGCCCTGTTACAGTGTGTGTGTTCTTTGGAATACCCATCTCACTGTATGTCCCAGTGCTAATATGGCTCACAGTATCTGTATCACTTTGTGGTAATATGGGTACAGTATCTGCATCATTGTGTAACAATATGGGATACAGTATCTGTATCATTTTGCCAAATGGACTTAGTAAGCTAAGGGATCCTACGGAATCAATCCCTCCATCTGCATTTGGATAACCTTCAAAAAGATAACTGCTAACTCTCGTTGGGTATTTAACTTGATGGAGCCTGAAGGCCCAGTTAGTATAATTACTCACTGGAAAGCTTGTGTCCTTAGTTTTGCTAAGAGATCGTGGTGTTCATGAGAATGGGGAAGCTGTACCTATTCTGCTCTTGACCCTTGGCCCCCAGAGAGCCCTGCAGCATTTGGACCTTCTGAGCTCACACTTGTCACTGTGAAATGTTACCCAGCCATCATGCTGCTGTGCCCTTCCCCCACTCTGCCTGAGTTGTCTTGGACCTGATCAGTTCTGCCCTCTGACCATGACTACAGGCAGACAAGGCCTCTCAGCTCAGCTGGCAGGCAGGTGCTGGCAGGCAGCTTCAAACCACGGAGGGAGACAGGGAGTGCAGGTGGGATTCGTTGGACTGAGGCAGGAGTGGAGAATTACAGTTCACAGACAAACGCAGTGTGGAACCTACCTATTGGTCCCGATTATCTTAATTTTTCATTTTCTGTGTATGGGTGTTTTGCTTGCATGTATGTCTGTGTGCCATGTGCATGCAGTGCCCAAGGAGGCCAGAAGAGGGCGGCACCACCCACTCGAGTTTACAGATGATTGTGAAATGCCCGGTGGGTTCTTGGACTCGAACCCTGGTCCTCTGTATGTATGAACAGCAAGTGCCATTTCTTCAGCCTCCATGTCTGTCTTTTATTGTGTGAGCTGTCACCTTCTAGATCCGAGGGCCTTTTGCTATTCAGTATTCATTTATTTGGTTGTTTGCTTCCTTTTTATAGGGCACTAACTCCTCGTCAGGCTCTGTTCTGGGCAATGACGGTATAAGAGGAAACACAACAAGTGAAACATTCAGCTTTCCTGACATGGTTTTGGTGGGAAGGGCCACAGTAAGACAATAAGCAAATGACCTCCATTGTGTGCCATGCCATGTGAACTAGATTATGATAAACATTGGGAGGGGGGAGGTTAAGGATTGAGTTCTGCAGGAGAGACCTCCTTCACAGCACTGTGGTGGCTTTGGGTGTCAGTGAACTGAGTGAATTAGTCAGACAGACACCAGTAAGAGGGTTTCAGGCAGAAGGAAGCACATGAGGAGGGGCCTTGAGCCTGAGATTTAAATGCTGAGCACTGTTCATATACTAAAATTGTGCCCCTGCCTCCAATGCCTTCTGGAGGTAAGAGCTGCCTGGACCACTGGGGATCCAAATAAGTGTTCCCCTGAGAATGAAAGATGCTGGTAAGATTTCCCAGCTTGAGATCTGCCACAGGTCTCAATGTCTCTTAGCCAGGATGCTGGGGCCAGAAGTGTGTCAGATTCCAGACTTCAGGATATTTGGGCTATTTTGGTGTGGGACCCTAGTGTGGCTGCTTGATTCATTTGTATTTCATGCACATATCTTTTGCACACAGCCTGAAGCTGACTTTATACACTATTTTTAAGGCACCTGCGTTTTGACTACAACCTGTAGTGTGAGATCTTCTGCCTGGGCATCAGATGGACATGTTTGGGGTGGTGGTCCATGCCTATTTCTAGATTGCTGCATTTTTATCTGTCTTTTCTGTGCATTTATGTCTATCCTCCTCTCCTGAAGACCACCTCTACTTTACTTGGGATTGTGTGGTAACCAGGCGGCACTGCTCAGCTGCTCATCTCTGGCTTTTATTGAACTTTATGTGTATTTATTAACTCTTTGGTCCGAATGCAGAGTCTTTTTGTAGAGATCTTTTGTAAAAGTCACTTTCTATCCTGAATTAACAAGCCTGTTAATTTTCCCTTGGGGAAGGCTTTCAAATTAGGGAGTGCTTCTGCAGCCCCTAGAAACTTATTTTTCTTAACTCCTGCTGCTTTATACTTTGTTCTGACTCTGCTGAGGTCCTCCCCTGAGAATCTGTCCTGGTAGGATTTAGGAGATTTGGCATTTGTCTCTAAGTTCTTATGCCGAAGATAAAAATGGCTTCCTTCCTACCTTGGCACATGAAAAGGATCTTACTACTAAAAGTGCTATTAATCCAGCAGACCCGCCAGCGTGATGCATGGGTTGTTATAATTCTTGCTCGTTGGGCCATTTCCTTTAGGAACACTCTCTTGGGGCTTTTAACTTGATTGGTTTTCTCTTGGCTGAAGGAAACCTAACCCAGAAAACTCTCATTTATCTTCTCGGGCTTTTGATAGATGTGCTATGGGAGGGTAAGTGTGACTCGTGAGCTGACAGTTGGCCTTTTCTTCCACTCTGCTCATTTGCTCTCACTCCTTCCTCTGAATTTCAACCCATGTGAGTCTGAAACTGGGCTACAACTGTCACTTCTTCCCAATCTTCTGTTTATTGGCAAAACACAGAGGAATCGTCTTTACTGCTTTTTCCAGACAGTGTTTTTCTGTGTAGCCTTGGCTGTCTTGGAACTTGCTCTGTAGACCAGGCTAGCCTTAGAGCTCCACCTGCCTCTGCCTCCTGAGTGCTGGGTTTAAAGTCGTGTACCACTACACCCAACTAGGAATCTTAATTTATACTTAATTTAGCCTTTTGGGAAATTAGGAGCTGGGGTTGGGGATGTAGTTCAGTGTAGCTTGCTCAACATGCATGAGGCCTTGGGTTCGAACTCCAGACTTCCTCCTTCTCCTTGTAGATCAATAGCTGTATGAGCAGGCCTGTAACTCAGTGAAGAACATGTGTTTAGCATGTGCAACATTCCCAATGCCTCAAAAATCAATAAAACACGAATTCTAGGAACTTGGCCACGGCCTTTGTTGTTAGAGTGAAATCTGTGTTTACGTATGCTTGCAAAACATGTGGCCTAGTGATTAAGATGTACCATGGTCTTACACGGACCATTAATCTTTTCATTTTCCTTATGATCTTTAATAAAGACATCAGCCAGAGAGGCGTGGATGTATTGCTTTGAGATGTACTTGTTGCTGGTAAAAAGGGGGAATCTTCTTTCTGGGGAGATCCCCTTTGAGAATCGAGATGTGTGGCTGAAGGGGTGGGAATATTCTAGCACAGGAGACTATTCCTGGTATCTGGATGGGTGACCTCTGAACTCACTGGCACCTTCCCTGGAGGCTTTCCCTGTGTGCGCACATTGCAGTACAATCAGATCTGTTTGTCTATCTGAGCTGAAGCCACGGCTGAGAGTCTACAATGGGACTGTAGTGATTTCTGAGCCAACAGGAAGGTACCTTATGTTAGTGCATTTCCTTCATTGGTTTTTTGCTGTGGTCATCAACCACATTTCCTGTTCCCCTTGGCACCTTTTATTTTCTCTGTTACAGTGCACCTTCCATGGCTAGATCAGTTTCAGAAGAGTAGAAGGTGTGTCTGTCCTTCACTGCTCACCTCTGGCTTCTAGAATACTAGAATACAGTAGGTACTTAGCACAAGTTTCTTGAATGCATGTGTCTGCACGCAGTGGACAGAGCCAGTGCAGGGATTTGCCTAGGGAGGCCCTGCCGTTCTTCTTTCATTTCATCTGGTTTCATGTGTGTTATCTTGAGTGCGTACTTAGAAGAGAAATAGAGAGGCTCCCGGAGCAAGGTTAAGAGGCCAAATAGAGTCACAGTTGTGAAGCCGTGAAAATTTTCTTAGCTGTTGTGGGCAGCAGCATTGTGCCATCAGGTCAGAGTTGGAGAATGTGTTGAGGGAGGCTTGGGTTAACCTGGTGGCTCCCTCTGGGCTGCATTGAGTTTGCTGGTTTCACAGCATGCGTTCTCTGTCTTCAGGGTAGTCTGTACCAGATTCATGTTCACAGGTTGGATTTGCTCCCAGAAATAAACCCATTAGTCAGCTGCCGAGCGAGGTTCTCATTTTGTCCTGCCCGTGCCCCTCCTCCCACAGATCAGAGCTTTCAGAGTGGCTGTGAAATGAATGGTAGCTGTCTATTTTCTTTATGATTCTGATTTGTTAGGGAAAATTGATTAGGTAAGCATTTTGAGGCTTTCAAGTTTTGATTGATTTTTTTGAGGTGTGGTTAGAATCCAAGTAAAGCAAAATAGATAGATAGATAAATAAATAAATAAATAAATAAATAAATTCCCCAGCCCGTGGAACAGATAAAATTCCATAAAGAAAAACAAAACAAAAAACCCAAACTGAACCTCTGACAGAAAGGGAGAAAAAAAAGTTGCTGATTTGATGGATGCCCAGGTTTCATCTGGTTTCAGTTTCAGTGCTTGATAAGAACAGACCTCCCAATATGTCACTGTGATGCTTCAGAAGAAAGCCAAGGTGAGCACAGTGGCCACCTGTATGGCAGCAACATTCTGGTATCCCCTGGGCATCTACCTTCTGAGCAAAGGCAGCTCTCTCACTATGGAATTTACATGAGTGTTTCACTTTTCTGGGAACCAGCTCAGCAGACAACGGTATTCTCACCTGTTGATCTGCCCAAAGCACCTAGAAGCTGTGCTGTTATTCACCTGACCCCGTCCTAAGCTTTCACTCTTCAGATCTTTATACCCTTTCTAATGCAGACTCAATTATCTCATCTTTTTCTCTTTCCCCCTTTTCCATACAGACCATAAAACCATGGGAAACGCAGAAAGCCAAAATGTAGACCACGAGTTTTATGGAGAAAAGCATGCCAGCCTGGGGCGGAAGCACACATCTCGCTCCCTGCGACTGTCACACAAGACACGGAGGACTCGGCACGCTTCCTCCGGGAAGGCAATCCACAGGAACTCTGAAGTGAGCACCCGCTCCAGCAGTACTCCCAGCATCCCCCAGTCCCTGGCCGAAAATGGCTTGGAGCCCTTCTCCCAAGAAGGAGCCCTGGACGACTTCGGGGACCCCATCTGGGTGGACCGAGTAGATATGGGCTTGAGACCTGTGTCTTACACGGATTCCTCTGTCACTCCCAGCGTAGATGGCAGCATGGTCCTCACGGCCGCCTCTGTGCAGAGCATGCCAGACTCGGAGGAGAGCCGGCTCTACGGGGATGACGCTACATACTTGGCTGAGGGAGGCAGGAGGCAGCGTCCCTATACATCCAATGGGCCCACGTTCATGGAGACAGCGAGCTTTAAGAAGAAACGCTCCAAATCTGCAGACATCTGGCGGGAGGACAGCCTGGAATTCTCACTCTCAGATCTGAGCCAAGAACATTTAACAAGCAACGAAGAAATCTTGGGTTCCGCGGAAGAGAAGGATTGCGAGGAGGCTCGGGGGATGGAAACAGAGGCGAGTCCCAGGCAGCTCAGCACCTGTCAGCGAGCCAACTCCCTGGGTGACTTGTACGCTCAGAAAAGCTCTGGGGTGAAGGCAAACGGAGGGCCGAGGAACAGATTTTCAGGCTACTGTCGGAATTTGGTGTCTGATATTCCCGATTTTGCAAAGCGTAAGATGCCACCGGCTGCTGCTGAAAAGAGTCCTCCGTACAGTAATTATAACACACTTCCCTGTAGGAAATCGCACTGTCTTTCCGAAGGTGCCACCAACCCACAAATTAGCCTTAGCAAGAGCATACAAGGCAGAAGAGCGAAAACAACCCAGGTAAAGCCTCAGAGTTCCGTTGCAGTATTTTGGAAGTGGTGCATGGCGCTTACAGTGCATGGTTTGGCTCTCACCGGTTCCTCACTTTAAAACCGGGCTTTACGGGGTTTGTCTGGCAGCTGCTGCAGCTGCCACAGCTTCTGCTGTGCCCCTTTTCCAGTTCTGTGGGTAAGGGGAGGGGATTGAGGGGTGTATGCAATAGGGTGGGAGGATGTGTTGGGAATGGCAATAGCACTATTAAGTTCTTACTGGGAAACTGCCTCCCCGCTCAATCCCTCCACAGCACCTCCCTGGTGGGACTTTCGTCTCACTTGGTCCTCTCTGTGGACACGCAGGCATGGTGGGTTGCAGCACTTGGAGCTCGTATCCACACTGCAGCAGGTGGGAAGAAGTCTGGTGGGGCAGCTCCTTAGAAGAGGCGTTTTCCATTCAGGGCGGGCTGTGGTCATTTGTCAGCTTCTCTCTGGTGTTGGCAGGCTTGCTGTCTTACCAGGGGCCATTTCACTTTCCTGTTTCTTGCAATGGGGCCACCCCGTCTCTGGATGGAGGTGTAGCAGAAGGAATAACATGGTTGGGTTCCCCCGTTTCTAGTTTGCAGCCAAATGTTTGACCTTGGGCAAACCCACTCTGACTTTTAGAGGTCCCCCTGAAAAGTGGGCATAAGGATGCTTAGGTGCTGGCAGTTTGATGCACGGGAGAGTGAGGGTGTGGACAGATGCGTAGAAGACTCGAAGAGTGTGTTCCCAGTGGAAGGAGGGCCCACTAACCTGGCTGGCATTAATAGCTTGAGTGACTGTCAGACAGCCCTGCATGCTTTCGTCGTTTCCTGAGGCTGCTGTTGCTTGTGGCAGATTTTGGGGAGCTCAGGATTCCACTCAGGTTGAGAAATGGGTAGTGGATTGTGCTTCTGATCCACGAGTGGATCTGATTGATCCATTTGCGTTGAAAGACACTGGGTGTCAATGGTGACCTGTGAAGGCTGCTGCACTCTGGCCTGCCCAGTAGGGGGCAGTGCTGCACTCTCTCGTCTGACTCAGGTTTGGGTCAAATGGGCACTGGTAGTGTTACTTTTAACATGGGTCAGGTGGGTGGGGGCCCTGGTGTCAGGCTGGGTTTCTTCCTGAACATGGGTTTTGCTGATGCCATCAAAGCCACTCTCCTAGCAGCTTCACCTCTTCCTACCTGGTTGTCTTTGGGCAAGAGAGTAGTTGTTTGAAAGCCTTGATTTCTTCACCTACCTAAGTGGAGACAATGGGACTGAGGACTCTTGACTAGCAAGAGGTCTGGGTGAGATCCTCAGCATTGTGGAGACACACACACCAAGGAGGGATAATAATAGGACTGTTTGAGAAGATGGAATGAAATCCGTGAGTCACGAAGCCACAGGGAGATTTGTTCATCGGTGTAACCCTGAGCATTGTTAGTGAGTGGTAGGTACTGTGTGGGTTGAAGACTTGGGGCCGTTGGGTGTTTGTGCCCAGATCTTGAGTTGATGAAAACTCGCCATGTGTCATTTGAGAAGATGCTCAGGAATTGGGCATCTAAGAGGAACTGCCTGAAGTTTATCCTTTTTTTTTTTTTTTTTTTTTTTTTTTTTTTTTTCTGAGTTGAGATGATAACAAAAGTGAAATTGTGACAGAAATGATGGGTTGACATCCTACCCGGTGGTTCTGTTAATACCCTGCGAGGGTCTCTGCTGAACTGTCGGTTTGAGAGGTCATAAGCAGGTGACCTATTAAAGGGCCACATGATAAGCACTGAATTTTCTGACATCAAGTTGGAATAGCAGGACCCATTCAGAGAGGTATTCAGCCTGCCTTGGCAAAGGGTACATTGACTTAGACAACACCTTTGCCTGGAGTGATCCTGAGTTAGTCCTTTCTCTCTGTAAGATGGGAGAGGGCCGCCCAGCTGTATTCTTTCTGGATTGCTGTCTCCATGGCTCTAAAACCAGAGATAGCCAGACTTTTACTTGGCCCCACATGCTGCAGGCCTTTAAGTCATAACCACCCATGGAACAGGGGCAAAGCGAGACGGTGCTCCCCCTCCAAATTCGACTCCACCGAGAGCTCCCCTGGGAAACTGCAACATGAAATCTCCATCCTGCTGACTTCCCAAGTTAATATACAGAAGTGAGATCATCTGAGTCTCACAGAGCCACTCTTAATGTAATGTAAATGCTATGGGTGAGGAATCCCAAGAAGGCCATTTGCATGCTGGCTTGTCTGCTCCTCCTCTGATGTCCTTGGGTAAGTCACTCTCATAGGTCCTTCCCTGTCCAGGGAGAGTTACACCAGCCTCCAACAGGGCTGTATTAGGTGAGCCAAAAGGGATGTCATGCTTGGAAGCCCTGTGTGGAGCCTAGAAAATGAGCGGAAGTATTATTTTGGTATTGACTTTATATGTTGAGTAAGGATCTTTAATGACTTGAAACAAACCCCAGAATTATGCACAACACTATCCATCCACCCACATTTTCCTAGTCTAAGTTGGAGCCCACTGTGTTCCAAACAGTGTATTTTAAGAGACAGTGGGTGTGGAAGCTTCCTTGACAAGAATTCTTCTTTTCCTTTTCAAAGGTTTTGACCCAAGGGACCTCTGTAGCAAGCTTGAATCATAGATCTTAGTCTCCTTGTCGGTCCTGGTGATGTAGTTCTGTCAGCCATATCACTCCCACCGGAAAAAGTTCCTGGCAAGCATTTGGCCCAAGAGCACGACCTCTCAGCCTGGAGAAAACACACCAGATCCAAAATAATGTGGACAATTTCATTTGATTTGAAAATGATCAAAAAAAGAGGTTTTGGCCGTTCTTCCTGTTTTTGTATGTTCAGGGGTTGGATTTGTTCCTGAAATGGGCAGGCTGTAGAGTTCTTATGGAAGTTTTGAAAGTATCATGCATGATGAGCCATGGAATCTGGCACACATTTTTTTGTTTTGTTCATGCATCTGGGCACATGGGTCTTGTACATGTACACATGTTGTATGTAGCTTGTACTGAGAGCAAATGGAGCAGAGTTCAGCTATTGATTTCAGTAACAATACAGAGTAGGTCTCTCCTTGGATTTAAGTGATGGCTGGATGGATTTCAGGCTGAACTTGGCTCTTCGGTTCCTATTTCTTTGGTAACAGACTAGGACAGGGCAGCCTGGGGTCATGCAGAATCAAGGGTGTCAGCCAGTCTGGGCTTGGAGTTTTTGCCTCCTGCCTTTTGGTTGTTTAACCTCACAGATGTGTTTTTTTTTCCCCCAAAGGAAGCTTCTGGAACGATTCAGTATTCTAGGAGGCAATGGATGAACAACTTAGAGCATGGACTCCAAAGTAGGAGGTGCCCACTGCATAGTGGCTTTAGTTACGAAGGCAAGGCGTGGCTTTGTGCTCTGGGGTTCCATCTCCTTCAGCTCTGAGGCCTTCACAGGATGAGTAGGAGAAGAGGGGACACCGCCATTGTTCTGTCTTGTGGCAGGCGCAGAGAGTCTGGGGAGTATCTGAGGGGAGTTTTGGCTTGGGGCTGTTGTACACACTTGAGGAGACCTTCATTCACCCAAATGGGAAGTGAAGGAAAGTAACTTGTCTCTACTAAGCCTGTTGCAAGGAGCCACAGAATCTAGAGAGCTTGAGGAGATCTAGGCTGAGGTGTGGTGGCCTATTGCCAACATGTCAGCATTCCCAGGAAGTCTGTGCACCTTGCTAACTAGTGGGAACAGGAAGGGGCAGAGAGCTCTGCTAGACCTTAGGGATCCTCTCGGTGTAGTTTCAAGATGCCAACTTCTGGGAGGAACCTCACAGACCCTCTCTGCCTGACCCCATAGCTTTTCAGCGAAGAAGGGTGTTAGTCGGTGTTTCTTGGTATATGAGGAAACACCATGACCACAACAACCCTTACAAGAGAAAGAATTTAACTGGGGCTGGCTTACAGATTCAGAGGTTGAGTCCGTTATCATCATGATGGGAGCATGGCGACAGGGTGGCTCTGGAGCTGAGACGTGACGTCTTGCAGGCAACAGGAAGTCAGCTGACACACTGGGTGGTGTCCTGAGTATATGAAACCTCACAGTCTGCCCCACAGGGACGCATCTCCTCCAACAAAGCCATACCCACTTCTCCTTTCAGATAGTGCCACTCCTTGGTGACCAGGATTCTGAGATTTGAGAAGCTGTCCCTGATGTTTCCTTTGATCAACAAATAACAGAGTTGATGGTTTACTAAGATGAGGAGCCTCATTTGTTTTTTTTTTTTTTTTTTTTCCTGAGACAGGGTTGCTCCATTTAACAGCTCTGGCTGTCCTAGTGCTCCCTTTGTAGACCAGGCTGGCCTTGAACTTACAAAGATCCACCTGCCTCTGCCTCCCCACTGCTGGGGTTAAAGGCATGCTCCACCATGCCTGGCTTGAAGAGCCCAGTATTAGATCAGAAGAGTATCTAAGTTCCTAGAAAAATCATTTTGATTTTTAAATTTTATTTGGTTTGACCACTTAGCTTACATGGCCCAGAAGTGAGTGTATTGCCTGAACTGGAAATTGCCCCCATAGCTGAATGAGCCTTTACCTTTGGCCTGGACACTTTGAGAACCAGCTAAAAACCTTGCTCTGATGTAAATACATAGACCACACCTTTTTGAATATCATCTTGGGAGCTCATGGGTCCCATCAAGTCCATTTAGAGATGCCTGGTTAAGAGTTAATTTTGTTAAGTGCTAGAGAGTTGGCCCTACAGTTATAAGAGCACTGGCTGCTATTGTAGAGGACTTGAGTTCAGTTCCCAGCGACTACACAGCTACTCATAACCGTCTGTAATTCCGCTTTCAGGGAATCTGATGCCCCTTCTGGCCTCAATGGACTCTTGCGCACATATGGTATACATACACACACACTCAGGTACACATACATATAGAATAAGAAGTAAACTTTTTAAAGGGCTGCTTTAAAAATCTCTTACATTAATGCTTCCTGAAACAAAATATTTTCATATGGGATCTTTTTCTAGAGCCCCTCATTTTCTTTC